CCCGATGGAGTCCTTAAGTGAAGCATGGGATCGTTTCAAGGATATGAGAAACAAATGTCCACTCACACTGATGGATTCTAGTAGCTTGATGTTCCATTTTTACAATGGACTTCAAGTTAGTAGCAAAAAAGAACTTGATTTCTCTTCTCAGGTGGGATCATTCCTTGACATGGCACCCAACACCAACGAAGCTCTGGTGGAGAAGGTCACTTCAAATGCAAGATACTGGTATGATGAAAGAACTCCAGCAGCAACAAAACCAGGCTATCTTGAAGTTGACCAACTCACGGCCCTAACAGCGAAGATTGAAGGATTGGTCGTGGAAGTGAAGAATTTGAAGAATGATAACAATCACACCAACCAAGTCAACAACATTGGTGCTGTCCCGAATCAACAATCATCCCGATACTTCGGGAACTCAAGCTCTGTCCCACAGTCATCTCAATTTAATACTTTTTCACCTGTTTCCCATTCAACTGAACTTGTACTCTCTTGTGAGATATGTTTTGGTCCACATTTGACCAATTCATGTCAATTAGTTGATGAATGTAATCTAAGCAACAACAGGGAGGTGAACCTGCTGGAGTATGGCCGAACAAAACAAGAAGGGCCATGGGCGAATCAAGGCAACCGGGGGGGTAACTCCAACTACCCTCCTCAGAATTTCCAAGGAAGGAATTACCAAGGTAACCAATGGCGGGGGGATTACAACAATGGTCCTCCTCGCGGCGGTTATCAAGGTAATCAAAACTACTCCAACAACAATCAAAGCAACAACTTCCAAGGTCGTAACCAGGGAGGTGCATCAAGCCAACAAAACAACCAAGCTTATGTGCCTCCACACCAACGACAAACGGAGGCTGCCCAACCATCAGAGATAGGCTTGCTGGTAGCAGAACTGGCAAGGACACGAGAGGAAATGTCGAGATACAAGGCCAGCACTGACAATCAGATCAAAAATCTGATGATGCAAATTACTCAAAGCAATGTTCCCGGTCGCCAGCCAGGCAACTTGCCTAGCACCACGGAACCAAATCCCCGTGAACATGTGCAAGCTATCACTCTCCGAAGTGGGAGACAAACGAAAGAAGTCGAGCAGAAAGACAAAGACGATACTCTGATCATAGAACCTGAGAAACAAACTGATGCTCCAACTGAGAAGAGCATGGAACCAACCCGCCCGAGCACAAAGGCCACTATCGTCAAACCTTCTCTCCCGTTTCCTTCACGGGTTAGAAATGATGACGATAGCAGGAAGTACAACAAATTCCTGGACCTACTCAAACAACTCCACGTCAACCTGCCGCTGATGGATGCCCTAGCGGAAATGCCCAAATATGCCAAGTTTTTCAAAGACTTGCTGACAAACAAGAGGCAGCTGCAGGAACTCTCAGTCGTGGACTTAAACGCAGAATGCTCGGCCGTGGTTCTGAGGTCAATACCCGAAAAGCTAAAGGATCCAGGTAGTTTCACTATCCCTTGCTCTATAGACAATTTCAACTTCAATAATGCTCTAGCTGACTTAGGGGCAAGTATCAATCTGATGCCTTCCTCTATAGTCGAGAAGCTAGGACTTGGGGAAATGAAACCCACCAGGATGTGTCTTCAACTGGCTGATCGCTCAGTCAAATATCCGAAAGGAATTGTTGAAGACGTCTTGGTCAAGGTTGACAAGTTCATTTTCCCAGTCGACTTTGTAGTAATGGACATGGAAGAGGATAGGGAAACACCTCTTATTCTGGGAAGGCCCTTTCTGGCTACCGCCAGGGCCTTGATTGATGTCACTGATGGCTCATTAACTCTAAGAGTCGGAGATGATCTTTGCACCTTCCGACTCTCAGATGTTATGAAACACCCCACAGATTCCTTTCAAGGATGTCATTTTCTTGATACCTTTGAGTCTATTGAAGGGTATCTGTTTGGGGAAGAAAATGGACATGTAACTGATGAAGCATGTCTGTTAAAAGAAGCCAACAGTGATGTGAGTGATGCATGTGAGAGTTGTGAGGATGCGCTGATTGATCAAGCTTCTAACGAAGTATTGACTGAGTTTGAGGGGGAGAAAAATGAACAAAACTTGAAAAACGACCACCCCCTCGAACTAAAGAAACTGCCCGACCACTTAGAATATGCATTCTTGGATGACGAAGGCAAATGCCCTGTCGTCATCGCCGCACACTTAAGTGAGGAACAAAGGGAGAAATTACTTGGAGTCCTTAAGACACACAAGCAAGCAATTGCTTGGAAACTTGAGGACATCAATGGAATTAGCCCCACCTTTTGTACCCACACCATCAAAATTGAGGAAGGGTTTAAACCAGTTGTCCAACCACAACGACGTTTAAACCCAAACATGATGGAAGTAGTGCGTGCCGAGATTGTCAAACTGCTGGATGCGGGTATCATTTACCCCATCTCTGATAGCCAGTGGGTAAGCCCTATTCATGTTGTCCCCAAAAAGGGGGGAATGACCGTCATGAAAAATGAAAAGGGCGAACTTCTACCCAGTCGAACTGTTACCGGGTGGCGAATGGTAATCGATTACCGCAAACTAAACGAAGCCACCCGGAAAGACCATTTTCCCCTTCCCTTCATCGATCAATTAATAGAGAGGTTGGCAGGCCATAGTCACTACTGTTTCCTGGATGGCATGAGTGGATACTTCCAAATCCATGTCAACCCGGAAGACCAAGACAAAACTACGTTTACATGCCCTTTTGGGACCTTTGCTTTTCGTAGGATGTCTTTCGGTCTCTGTAATGCTCCTGCCACCTTCATGAGGTGCATGATTGCCATTTTTGAAAAATACATTGGCCACTTCATGGAGGTATTCATGGATGACTTCTCTATTTTTGGGGAAACGTTTGAAAAATGCCTCGAAAACCTGGAAAAAGTACTTATCCGCTGCAAGGAAACCCATTTAGCCCTAAGTTGGGAGAAATGTCATTTCCTTGTGAAAGAGGGTATAGTACTTGGACACAAGGTGTCAAGTAACGGGGTAGAGGTGGACCGTGCAAAAATTGAGACGATAGAGAAACTTCCTCCACCAACCACGGTAAAAGCCATCCGCAGCTTCTTAGGACACGCGGGCTTTTATCGTCGTTTTATAAAGGATTTCTCTAAAATCGCAAAACCTCTCACCCGGTTACTTGAAAAAGATGCGGTTTTTATATTCTCTGATGAATGTCACCATGCTTTCCAAGCACTTAAAACACAACTGATCAATGCTCCTGTGCTTGTGGCCCCGGATTGGAGTTTACCCTTTGAACTCATGTGTGACGCTAGTGACTTAGTAGTAGGGGCCATCCTTGGTCAAAGGAAGGACAAGAACTTCCACCCAATCTACTACGCTAGCAAAACTCTGTCAGGGCCACAACTCAACTACACTACCACTGAAAAAGAATTCCTTGCTATTGTTTGTGCTTTAGAGAAGTTTAGGACTTACATCATTCTTTCGAAGGTTATTATCTATACCGACCATTCGGCCATTAGATATCTCCTCCAAAAGCATGATGCTAAGCCTAGACTGTTACGCTGGGTTCTTTTGTTGCAGGAATTTGATATTGAAATCAGGGACCGAAAAGGATCTGCTAATCAGGCAGCTGATCACCTCTCGAGGTTAGATGCCGAGTTAGCAGAAACTTTCGGAAAATGCGAAATTGAGGAGCTTTTTCCTGCTGAGAGACTGATGGCAATATCCGCCAAGGAACAAACACCGTGGTATGCCGACATTGCCAACTACCTTGTTGGTAAAGTCGAGCCTACCGAACTGACAAGGCACATGAAAAGGCGGTTCCTATCAGAAGCAAAGCACTATTTTTGGGATGATCCATATCTATTCCGAATTTGTGCTGACCAGGTGGTGAGAAGATGTGTTACTGAAGCTGAGGCAAGGGACATTCTGGAGCATTGTCACAGCGGTCCTACTGGGGGCCACTTTTCAGGGAATAGAACCGCAAGGCGGGTTTTGGACTGTGGGTACTTCTGGCCCACGATTTTTAAGGATGCTAATGTATTTGTTTCTTCTTGTGATAACTGTCAACGAATCGGGAACATTTCTGGGCGCAATGAGATGCCCCAACACTTTATCTTACCTTGTGAGGTATTTGATGTTTGGGGCATCGACTTTGTTGGACCTTTCCCAAGCTCAAGAGGAAACAAATACATTCTTGTGGCCATTGATTATGTTTCTAAATGGGTTGAAGCCCAGGCCTGTATCACCAACGACTCTCGAGTAGTCGTGAATTTTCTGAAAAAGCTCTTTACCAGATTTGGTGTGCCTAGGGTTTTGATCAGCGATAGAGGGACTCATTTCCACAATGATCCAATGGCCAGAATCTTGGCCAAATATGGAGTCCAACATCGAAGCGGAGTAGCGTACCACCCCCAGACTCAGGGACAAGTGGAGAACGCTAACAGGGATTTGAAGTCCATTCTGGAGAAAACTGTTGCCCAGACCAGGAAAGACTGGTCAACTAAACTTGACGACGCTCTTTGGGCATTTCGGACTGCTTACAAGACCCCGATCGGAACAACACCTTTTCGCCTTGTATACGGGAAGTCTTGCCACTTACCCGTCGAACTCGAGCATAAAGCACTTTGGGCGATGAAAAATGTCTGTTTTAAACTGGATGCTGCAGGGAAGGAACGATTTTACCAGCTGAATGAACTGGAAGAGTGGAGAGCGCAAGCTTTTCATAATTCTAAACTTTACAAAGAACGGGCCAAACTCTACCATGATCAACACATCAAAGCTCGTGATTTCAATGCTGGAGATAAAGTGCTGTTGTTCAACTCCCGGTTGAAGCTTTTTCCAGGAAAGCTTAAATCAAGATGGTCCGGACCGTTCAAGGTCATAAAATCTTACCCCTACGGAACTGTTGAGATTGAAGATGCTAATGGGGCTCCCTTTAAAGTCAACGGCCACCAACTTAAACTCTACCATGGCGGCCCGATTGAAAAAAGCGAGATTCTCTATCTCCAAAAATTTTGAACCGAAGGAGGACATTCGTCAAGCTAGTGACGTTAAAGAAGCGCTCATTGGGAGGCAACCCACCCAAAAAAGAAAAAAAAAAAAAAAAAAAAAAAAAAAAAAAAAAAAAAACTAACCCAAAAATATTTTACTTTGTTTATTTCTTGCAGATGTCTGGAGGAAGACGTGACGATCCCATTTTCGAGGAGCCACCACTAGGACGGGAAGACCCGCCACCTCAGCCTGATATCCCATTTGCTACTATTGCTGATCGCAGACGCTTCCAGGCATGGGGGCAATACCGCACACTCCTTCCTCCCATGATCCTGGACCCGACGATGCTAGAGGAATGGGGGTACTGGGATGACATTGATGCCCTGCTAGGAGACTCTTTATGGCGGAGGATTCTATTCGTTCAGGAGAGGGCCAGCCTTCCATTGACGATGGAGTTTCTGTGCTCCGTTCAGTTCACTCATTACGGACAGGCTGTGCAGGAGGGTGCTGTTATTGGGTCAGAGTCTCGGATGAGGTTTACTATTCTAGGCATGGAGCACTCCATCACTGTGGCTGAGCTCGGATGGAGGATGGGGCTCTATACCCCAGCATACACACAGACTGAGGAGTTCCGTGCTCTTCCGACCCGCTTACCCGAGGCATTTGACATTGATGAGTTCTGGCACAGACACTCCACAGACACCAGATCATTTCTCCGGATGCACCCCCATTCGAACAAATGGAGGGAGACTCACTGGTACATACTCTCGTTCGTACTTTCTTGTGGTTTTTTTGGACGACCTAACAACACAAACAGGTTGTCCAAAAAGGACATACTATTCTTTTGGAGTTTGATTCACCGCATCCCGGTGAATATGGCTGTCCTTATGGCTCGTTTCTTCCGGAGCCAGGGGAAGACTGTGCGGCGCACTATCCAGGCAGGGCCTTTCATCACTACCCTCGTTAGATCATTCTACCCAGATCTAGACATTCCAGGGCTATCACATTTACAGGAGAGCATCCGCGTTCTTCGATCCTCATCCTTTACCAACATGAGGATCAAGAAGAAGCGGAATACTCAGGAGCTCCCAGGTATTGAGCAGCCGACCCAGCAGAGTAGTTCTTCTCGACCCTCAGGACATGAGGGATCTAGCGAGCCCTTTTCATACATGCCTAGCGCCGCAGATTGGAGAGCGATGATGGATGGGATGCGGAGTCTCCAGACTTCAGTTTCAGAGATGCGGGTTGCACAGGACAGAGGGTTCCAGGAGATGCGAGATGCGCATGAGACGGCCCTGGGAGAGTTCAGAGACTTTCGATTAGCTCAGGAAAGAGCCACCCAGGATATGCAGGCGGAGCTAGAGACCCAGAGGCTAGATATTGATGAGATGAGAGATTGGCTTAGGCCACACTATGGCCCCCAGGATGGCGCAGGCGATGTTTAGATTTGCTTCTTCCTTAACATTTTTATCATGTTTGTTTGTTCTTCAGGTTGGACATTGCGCTGCTCCTTTGACTTGAATGCTCTTACAAACTGACTATGGATGATGTAAGGATTTTTAAAACCATTTTTTCTCCTGTTTCATTATTCCTCTTCACAAAATCTTTTCAAAACTCAAGTGTGAGGAAAGAACCAAAAAAAAAAAAAAAAAAAAAAAAAAAAAAATTATGTGCCTTTATTTCCCAATTTTGTGCCTCAAAAGAAGACCTCGAGGGCGAGGTCCAGCTCAAGTGTGAGGAGGTTGCGTTTTACACTCAAAAGTCAAAACCTTGTTTTAGAACAATCTTTTTACTATTTTTGATATGAAACATTAATTTCTCAATTTGTTATCAATTCACAAAATAGTTTAGAAAATCACCCTTATTATAAGAATTTACTATTATTATTATTTTTGAAAACTTAAAATTGTTATGGGTTTTTGGTTGCGAATGTAAAGGTCTGAATTTGTTTTAATTGGACATTCATTTTATTCATTAAAAAAAAATGTTACTATTAATAAACCTCTTCAAAACTCATTGTTATAGGACAATTCCATCTCCGAAAAGGGGCTCTGTTTCATTCGCTAATCACAGTCTGTGAGAATGAAATATGCATTTACCATGGGATAACACCGCCAACAAGAGTGAAAAAGAGCAAAAAAAAAAAAAAAAAAAAAAAAAAAAAATGAATGGTGAACAAGATGAATGTCCAAATTAGAATAATGAAAATCTTGGGATAAGGAATTGATTGGTGGTTTAACATAATAAATAGTTTTTCGTAAGTAATACTAATTTTAAACTCTTGTATTTTGGGTGATTTTTCTAAAATGTTTAAAGATTGAGAATAAAAAGAAGAGGTTTTTGTTTCTACTTCTTTAATAGCAATTCGATTATGATACAGTCAGGTTTTCCCTTTTTGAGTGTGTTTCCAACTAATTCGTCGCTTGAGGACAAGCAACGCTTAAGTGTGAGGAGATTGATAAGTCCATTTTTGTACTTATTTTTCTTATCAAATTTAAGCGATTTTTTATTGAAAATAGAAAGAAAAGGCATGTTTTAGATATTTTGGTTCAAGTTTCATGAAATCAGGTGAAAATCACATCCATAATATGTTTAGCGGGATTTCGGGTCAATTGAGCACAAAATGAGTCAATTTGAGTGACAAATGCATTTATACCGGAAGAAGCAAGCATTTTATCAAGGTGATTCAGAAGACAAAAATGAAGAGCAAGAAAAGCCGCATCTGCCAGACAAAAATGGCCGAAGGCGCCCAAATAGGCGCCCAAAATGGAGGCCTCCGCGGCCGCCTACGGGAAAAATCAGAAGTCAACCTCGCTTTGACTCGGGACTAGGAAAAGACCGAAGGCTACCGACACTGGACAGAAGGCGGCCGCCTACGGTGGCCGCCTGCGGCACAAGGGGACGAAACCAACCACCGGTCGGCCAGACGGGACGGCAGGCGGCCAGACAGGACGGCAGGCGGCCGCCTGCTGGACCGCCTGCGGCGGCCGGGATCCGCCGGGATCCGCCGCGATCCGATTTGAACGTGAAAAGACGGCAGGCGGCCGAGGTGTGACGGAAGGCGGCCGCCCTCTGTGGCCGCCTACGGCGGACGGGACCGGCCACGATCCGCTGCCGGCGATTAGACGGAAGGCGGCCGGATAGAGGCGGAAGGCGGCCGCCTGGATGGCCGCCTACGGAGAAAAATTTCCTATAAATTGCCCGATTTTTGCTGAACTCAAACACACCACTTCCAACCCTAAATCAGTTCAAAACACCCTCTTTCTTCCTCCATTTTCGAGCTCCAAAGGTTTTAGAGAGAGAGAAACTTCAAATCTTCATATCTTCTTCATTTTAGCTCCAAATTGTAAGTTCTTTATATGTATTTTCATCTTCTCAACGAGTAGAATCTGAATCTGCACTTTGTTTGTTCAATCTGTTCTTCGAAAATTTCCAGATTATTTTTCAAGTATTTCGCATTTACTTCCAAAAATTAAATAAAATAGTTATTGTTGTTGAATTCATTCCAATTAATTATATAGTTGTTTACTAGCCTCAAGGTAGTTATTTATCTGAATAAATTAATTTTTCACGAAGCATAAGTAATTTTTAATTAATTTTGGTAATTATTTGAGATTAGTTCATAATTTAGAATAAATACTAGAAAAATAGAAAAAAATTAGTTCGGCCTTAATTTCAGTTTGATTCATAGTAATATCACTCCCAGTAGCTAGAATAAAATTTATAACGAAGTTAGCATATTTTTAGTTGCTTTTTGCATTTTCTAGTTAAAATTGGGAAAATTATCAATTAGTTGTCAAAAATTGGATTTTAGGTTCAAAAATTGGTGAAAAAATCCAGAAAGTTATATTTTAGTTCCTACAAGTTTATTGTTCCAGAATATAATTTTTGTTTAATTTTTGCTATCATACATGTTTAATTCCTTGTTAATGTTGAATTTAATCATTATTTTGTTAATTGCAAAAATGGTGATGAGTAGCTAAATTTGTTAGGGCATGAATTGAGAAAAGGAATATGGATTGACTTGTTGACCTAAAATTAGGGGTTAAAATTAATAAATTGGACTAGTTGTTTGAAATGATGAAATAGTAATTAATAATAGTTAGCCATATTCATTAATTAAATTCTTGGAAAATTAATTCTAACTTGTCTATGAGATTAGAAATTAATTTAAGCCAACCATATTTGAGCACATTAATAAGGCCTAGAAATAGGATAATTTAATGAAAAGGATTTACATCTTGTCTATGAGAAATAAATTCAATTGCTAAAATAAAGAGTTTAACTAGTTAATGAATTTGGCTATTTTTATTAATTAAAATATTGGAAAATTATTTCTACCTTGTCTATGGGTTTAGAAAATAATTTAAGCCAACCATTTTAAACACATTAATGACACCTAGAAATAGGATAAATTAATGAAGATAGTTTCTATTCTTGTCTATGAGGAAAGAAATTATTAGTCCAATTTTAGTCTTAATTTCCCTAATTAAGAGGTCCAAGAACATATCCATTTCTAATTACTCAATTCATTGCCCTTATTTGCATCCTTGAATATTCAATATTTATACATTAATCTTTAAATTGCACCTTGCTCCTAGTTATAATTTAGCGTAATATAGAACAAAATCACTTTCCTATATTGAAAAAGCTTCCAACAATTAGCGATAGCCCGTGACTAAAATTAAATTAAGAAACTTCTCCGCCATTCCTCAAGAGACACGACACTCGGGGAAAAACCGAAAGGTTAGACTCCGTTTTACTACAACGCCGCGAAAGCGGTTATCAGTTACCACCAGCTGGCTGTCCATTCTCACCTTCAGACGAGCTGCTCCGAGGGCTTTCGCGCATTTCAGCCCTGCGATAAGCGCCTCGTACTCAGCCTCGTTGTTGGTGACCTTGAACTCGAATTTCATAGAGTAGTAGGCTTTGAAACCCTCGGGGGAAGTGATCACCGCTCCCCCGCCACAGCCCCGTGCACTCGAGGCCCCATCGGTGTACATCTCCCACCAATTGTCGAAGTCGTTGCTGTCATGGGTTTCGTCCTCGGTGCGCGCGGTGCATTCTGCGATGAAGTCCGCTAGTGCCTGTCCCTTGATCGTCGGCCTTGGTTTGAAGTCCACGTCATACTGGCCGATCATCAAGGACCACTTGGTTATCCTTCCGCTCGCCATTGGATTTCTGAGGACTGTGGCGAGGGGTTGCGTTGTGTAGACGGTCACCGGGTGTGCTTGAAAATACGGCGCCAGGCGCTTGATGGATGCAATCAAGGCAAGGACCGTCTTTTCCATCAGTGTGTATCTCGTCTCGGGGCCGTTCAGCGCCTTGCTCACAAAGTATATTGGCCGCTGGACGCCTTCAGATTCCTTCAGCAGCACGGCACTTACAGCCAGGTCGGCTACTGCCAGATACATGTACAATCTCTCCCCGGGATCCGCTTTGGTGAGGACGAGCGGAGAAGAGAGATATACCTTGAAATCTTCGAAGGCCGCCTGACATTCCGGGGTCCATTCAAAGGGATTGGCCTTCTTCATGATCTGGAAAAAAGGAATCGCCTTATCAGCCAGCTTGGATAAGAATCTGCTCAGGGCCGCTAGACGCCCGGTGAGGCGCTGCACATCCTTTAGGTTCTTCGGGGCCTCCATGTCCATAATTGCCTTCACCTTCTCCGGGTTAGGCTCGATCCCCCGCTCGCTCATCATGTAGCCGAGGAACTTGCCGCCCCTGACGGCGAAGGCACACTTCTTCGGATTGAGCCTCATGCTGGCCCTCTCCATGATGCCGAAGACCCTTTCCATGTCCTGGACATGGTCCTCCTTCCTCTTGCTCTTGATCAGGATGTCATCCACGTAAGCTTCCATTGTCTTCCCAAGTACGTCTTTGAACAACATCCCAATCATCCTCTGAAAAGTAGCCATGGCGTTCCTCAGGCCGAACGGCATGACAATGTAGCAATACACGCCGTCCGCCGTAACGAACGCCGTTTTCTCGGCGTCATCGGGGTGCATAAACACCTGATGGTAGCCCCTGAATGCGTCCATGAAGCTGAGCAGCTCGCAGCCTGCCGTTTCATCCACCAGCAAGTCGATCCTCGGAACAGGGTAAGGATCCATCGGACAAGCTTTGTTCAGGTCCGAGTAATCGACGCACATCCGCCAAGTGTCGCCCTTTGGGGCTAGTACCACGTTGGCCAGCCACTCCACGTGGATGACCGGCCGGATGTGTTTAATGCTGAGGAGAGTTGCCGTCTCCTTCCTGATGAAATCGCGTCGGTCGGCCGCCACATACCTTTTCTTTTGCTGTACAGGCTTGGCGTCCGGTCGCACGGCGAGTTTATGGCATATGAGGTTGGGGTCGATGCCCGGCATGTCCTCCGGCCCTCTGGCGAATAAGACCCTGAACCTTCGGAGGACAGCTATGACCCCCGCCCTGATCTCCGGCTCTAGATCTGCACCGATGGACACCTTCCTGTCCGTCGGGTCGTCGAGCTCGATCTCTTCCAGCAGAGCTGCTGGTTCCAGGTGGACGTCCAAGTCGGCCTGTTTGGCCGTCTCGGAGATGCTGTTGACCCGAGCCTCCCGCTCGTTGAGCTTCTCCATGGCCTTCGTGTAGCATGCCCTGGCCATATGCGGGTCCGTACGTGCTATCCCAACTCCAGTGTCGGTAGGGAATTTGATGCATGAGTGCCGTACGGAGCATATGGCCTCCAAGTCTTCCAAGCCGGGTCGGCCCAAAATGGCGTTGTGGGCGCATTTTAGGCGGACCACGACGAACGTCATGCTGATCCGGGTCGTATGAGGACCGTCGCCGATTTCTACTGGCAAGACGATGGTTTCCTCAGCGTCAATGCAATCCCCGGTGAAGCCGGACAGCGGGGTACGCAGAGGGTGCAGCATGTCCTTCCTGAGCTTCATTCCTTCGAAAGCCTCCCAGTAGAGGACGTTCACACTGCTCCCGGTATCAACAAGGACGCGGCGGACGATGGCATCGTTCACGTCCATGCTGATCACCAGCTCGTCTCTGTGCGGCGCCGGTGACATTGGTAGGTCAGCGGGGCCGAAGGTAATTGCCTCGATTTTATTGCGCTTGGTGGGGGGTGCTGATACGGATCCCACATAGAGTGATCTCTCAAATTTTTTCCGCTCAGCGGGTGTATCCCCTGTCTCAGCGCCCCCGAAGATCACCTTGATCTCCAACTTCTTCTTCTTGCCCTTCGGGCCGAGGGATCCCTCCGGACGTTTATCTGCACTCCGATAATCCACGTCCTGAGGTTCTGCCTCGCGCCGGTCGTCGCGGCGCCATGTCTTGTGCCTTGGGTTCGGCTTCTGCTGACTGTTTTTGTTCAGCAGCTGGGTGAATTCGCCCAAGTACCCCTGACGGATCAGCTCGTCGATGGCTTTCTTTAATTGGCTGCAATTGTCCGTCAGGTGGCCGATCTTCTGATGGTACTCACAGTAGGCCGACTGGTCAAGCCCCATATGCTTCTTCATATCCTGGGGTTCCGTCAGGAGGCCTTTGTCTTTGATGGCCTCGAAGATTTGGCTCACTGGATAGGCCAATGGGATATAGCGGTCGTCCGGCCGCGTCTGGTTGTCTCCGGAGGGAGCCTTCCAAGGGATCATCGCTCTGTCCATCCTCTTCTTTTTGCTTGGGGGTGAGGGCCCGGGTCCCGGTCTTGGTCCGAGTCTGTCTGCCATCTTCCTAGGCTGGGCCGCGGGAACTCCGTCCC